TTTTTTTGTTTATTCGTCTTTCTGAAACAGATTAAAGCGAGGATTACGAATAGCGAATATGAAGATAGGCAGCGCCACCCCATAGGAAAATTATCGAATCAAAATCTTCATTTCCTCTCAAATGGTGTGAGTCAGTGTAGTCATCTGTTTTTAAAATCTGCAATACCTACGTAAAAAGAAAAAAAAATGTTTCTGGCTAGTACGCTCGCTTAGCTTGACATATCATCAAAAGACGTTTCATGTGGAGCCATCAATAGTCAGAATGAATTTACAAAGTTCATCATCGGATGAGATTTATGTCAGAAGGAAGGATGACGAAGAATCATCACGTTTTCATTTAATTTTTTTTTAAAAATATTCGCCCATTTGTCTTTTTTGATGCGAAAAATTTAATTTTCTTGGAGTATTAGTAATTGTTTTTCAAAAAATATAATGATGGTAGTATTATTTTATTTTATATTTATTTTTTATTTTATTTTATTTTATTTTTTTGTATTGCTGGTAAGTTTTACTATATTTTTTTAATACTTTCATAGTGTTTTGATCTCAGTTTGGGGCTTAACTATTTGCTCATAACTTGGACCCTAACAGGTGTTACCACCCCAGGTCAGGGTGGATCTGGCCTGGGATCAACAGCAATTAAAAGATGGTTCCACGCTCCTGAAAACCTCCCCATCAGAGGCCATGCTGCTGGATGCAATTCATTGTCATAACCCGGACGAAATACGAGGGTCATTCAATAAATAAGGTGAATTTTTCAGTATAAAGACTTCTTAATACAGATAGAAGCTTACTTTTTTTTTATTCTCAACGTAGTCTCCCAGCACTGTCACATAACTTTTCCCATCTGTGCACAAGTATTCAAATATTCCCTCAGCATAAAAAACGTTCTCTTTTCCAGTCGCTCAACAACTTTTTGACTTCATCGTCATTTTTAAACTTCGTGCCTCTCGTGAACGCTTTAAAGGGACCAAACAGGTAAAAGTATTTATGGGGCAAGGTCTGGGCTGTAAGGGGAATAGGGAGCAGTTCCCAGCCCAGCTCGTTGATGATCTGCACCGTTTGGGCTGCTGTGTGATTTTTGCGTTGTCATGATGCAAGATGACTCCTTCTGACTGATGAACCCTGCGTTTGTTCTTTATGTTTTTTTGACCTGCCTCAAAGTTCACAGTAGTTCTTCTGTCAGACTGAATGAGGTCATTGACTGATTGATCACCTCAGGAGACCTCACTTCTGCAGGCCTCCCAGGCCTGTCTTCATCCTCAACACTGCTCCGTCCTTCTTTAAACAATTTAGCTCACTTTAGACATTTTTTGTCTGAAACATTTGGCACCACACATTAATTTGACATTCTCCTATGAATTTCAATAAAATCTTCACCAACCAAAATTTTGATAATTGACCGCTGTTCAATCCTGGAGCATGCTTCTTAAATGGCCATCTTTGTTAATCTATAAAAAATGAATTAATTTTTTTTTAATCCGCAAAGAAATTAAATCCATGTGAAAAAAAAAATAAAAAAAAAAAAAAAATAAGCTTCTATCTGTATTAGAAGTCCTTATACCGAAAAAATTCACCTTATTTATTGAATGACACTTTATATTAATGTTCTCTCTTAACAAACAATTAAAGGAGATTAAAATATTTTATTAATTTCAATTCTTTTTTTTTTTCTCTTGGTCTTTTAATCATTCTTTCTCTCTCAAAAAATCAAGAATATTATGTTGTTTTTTGTATTTTAAGATTTTTGTAAATTCTAAAGGTTGTAAAAATGGCGCATATGACCTGTCTGAATGGAATGGTTAAACAGATTTTCATTTAAATACCTGATATATGTTATATTCCCATATAATCCTGGTCATAGTTGAGAACAAATGAAATATCTATCATCTTCTAGTTAAAATAGGCTTAGAGTGGAAAGGCATACTCTGGTCCTTTATCACATAAAAATTAATCGAACTGCTGGAAAAATTATATATATATATATATATATATATATATATATATAATTTTCCAGCAGTCCAATTTGGAACAAATATATATATATATATATATATATACATTATCGGTGTTATGAATTGTGACTAAACACAAATTATGGAAATTCTTCTGATGAACTTTTCTCCTTGTTGACACGACAGCACGGGTTTAAGCTAGTTACCCAAAGTTGAGGTTTTTAAAAAGACTTTGAAAAACTAGCAAGATGCAAGCGTAAATTCTACTATAATGGTTTCTTTTCCCGCACTTCTCACTTGTGGAACTCGTTTCGGATTTCTTGTATTCCTGCCAACTAAAATCTTCAAAAATGTAAATGCAACGTCAATCACCAAATTCTGTCTTCCTAAATCCTGTTCCTTCATTATCCTTGGCGCTTCTCGCTAAAATCTTATTCTCTGATGGCATTTTCGCCTTGGCTCGGAATGGGAAAATCGAAGAACCGTGTTCGAATTCCCGCCGAGTATGTTACTTCCACTTACGCGCAAATACACTTGGAAAGTTATGGAACTATTACTTCTCTTCTTCTCCGTAGCAGATCAGACTGGTTTTCATTGCTTTGATTGGCAACCAGTTTAGGAGAAGGAAAAATTCTGCATCGAAAACCTGATTTGAGAAGGTGTGGTATTGTCATGTATTCTTACCCAAGACACTTCGCTGCTCCCACGACTGCAGGGCGTGTAGGGTAATTATACATTCTTATTGCTCAAAGTAGAGGTCAAATGAGGTATAAAAACAACGGAAAATTCAAGTAAGATATCTTTTATCATTTTAAAGGTACAACGATTCAAATCTTAATCTAACAATTGGACAATTTTGCTGTTACACAAATTAGTCAATTCTGCTGTTACATCATATATATATATGTGTGTGTGTGTGTGTAACAAATGTATATATATATATATATATATATATATATATATATCCAAAAATAAATATAGATATTTTTCTCTGTTTCCTGCGTATATCATCTGAATATTTATTTTTCATTTATATATATATATATATATATGTATATAATTGTCATATTGTTTTTTAATGTATATATGATTATATGAGGACCGTCATCGTAAATGAAACAACTTAATAAATAGCCTTTCATTATCATCATGAATATGCGAATAGACAATTGAACAGATATCTTCTCTCTCTCTCTTTTATATATATATATATATATATATATATATATATATATATATATATATATATATATATATAAAAAAAATGAAAAGAAGTAAATAGAAGATAGAAATAGATAGATAGATAAATTCTGCAGACTCAGAAATGTGAAATAAATAAATGTGAACAGAACAGATAAATAGATAGATAGATTTAGATAGATCGATAGAAATAGATAGATGAATGTGAATAGACTCAGATAGATTTGAACAGTCTCTGGTGGATTTGATAGATGGATATGAACAGACTATATATATATATATATATATATATATATATATATATATATATATATATATATATATATATATATATATTATTATTATTACTGTTATTATTATTCAACGATAATTTTCCAACCTATTCAGGATGATCTTCTGTCCTGGAGTTAAAATTGGAAATTTTTAAGTACAATTTCATTTTCAAGTGAACAGTCTCTGGTGGATAGATAGATGGATATGAAAAACTGTATATATATATATATATATATATATATATATATATATATATATATATGCGAATATATATATATGTGTGTGTGCGTTTATTGCGCATGTGTGTGTGTGTTTTGCGTGTCCTGTATTTTCAGGTTTCGCGGTGACCTAGTGTTCCTTCAGGCAGGTTTCGTGTGCCTGGAACGCCTAATGATACGTAAAATCAACTCAGACCCCAATACTATCTATCGCGAAAGACACCAGAAAAATGGTCGGTTCCTTGTACGGCTTCAGTAAGTAGCTGACCTCCTTCTGTAATCCTCTGCCTTTACAAGGGACAGATGAACTCAAAAATGGAGTACTGCTGCCATATTTTAGCAGGAGTTTTCCGTCTTTCGATTTCTAGTCTCGACAGAGTAAAAAAGCGCGTATGAATAATTTCCCACCTTACAACCCCATTTCTACAGGCAAAACATCTCAAGCCTCTCGCTACTTGTTGTGGAGTTGTTTCACAGTGGAGGCTTGTATTTGTACTAAGTCGGTCCTAAAATAGGTTCGACGTACAAAACGTTAGGAACTGGATATAATAGGCAATGACGCAGAGAAATCTAGTTGCAGTCGCTGATACTTTAGTATCCATCTGACGGTCGTCCGGCATCGACTGAATGACCGACCCACTCAGCGACCTGTTACTCTTACTACTCCTACTTATTATAGGTGGGAGAGTCTATTAACTATAGAATAGGTGTGTTCCACTATAACACGACTCTATCGCTATTTCCATGGAAACCCACCGGGTTACGCATATTGTAGAGAACCGCCCTTATTTCTTTCATATTCGATTGGTTACACTCAGCAGCCGTCGTTTCGTGGAACCGACTTACAAATGGATGCATCCTGTTCAAGTCTAGAATTAACCGTTATTTTCTGCACATTTCCTGATGAACTGTGCCACTTTAACTGCAACATACTACCTCGAGTGGCTCTTGGATCATGTACAGATGAATATCAATATTCTTTTTTTTTATTTTCCAATCGTTAATCAATGCTTTCTTTGCATTCAAACATTTAGCCTTCATAATGCAAGATAATATCCTGAACAAGCGCGGCCATCTTGGATTAAAAGTCAAACCAATTACCGTTCGTGAAGATGGCATTTCTGCCGGAGGCGCTTAACAGAGGGCGCTGCTAACAAGGGACCTGCAGATAACAACGGCTGATTGCTATAAGTGACACCAGATTGACGTCATCCACTCCAATTTCCGTCCTTGCTCCTCTTATTATAACGATGGGATTTATCATTTCGCATTCTTTTCCAAAGTTTACTTATATTCCTTTTTCTATCAAAATTATTTTTTAGTAGATTTTTCCCTATGATTGTTTATTTCCTCAATGTTTTCTTTTCCTTTTTGTTCTCTTTCTTTTTATCATTGTTTCTTTCTTGGTCAATCAATCTGTGTTAGTTCATTATCTATCTATCTATCTATGAGTCTTAGTTTGTTCATATCTAATGATCTATATGTCTATCTACTGAGTCTATTGATATTTATCTATGTATGTATGCATCTATTTATCTTAGCCTGTTCATATCTATCTATCTATCTATCTATCTATCTATCTATCTATCTATCTATCACTGTCTGTTCACATCTATCTACATCGCTGGCCGAGTCTGTCAATATCTAACTATCTATTTTTATATCTATCAAAGTCATTAATATATATATATATATATATATATTGTCTGTTCATATCCATATCTATTTTTCTGAGTCTATTTACACGTATATATATATATATATATATATATATATATATATATATATATATATTATATATATCATATAATTCGAGTCTATTGTATCTATCTATCTATCTATCTATCTATCTATCTATCTATCTATCAAATGCGTGTTCACATTTTAAATTCCACTATTTAAAAGAAAAGTGAAAGACATATCTAAAAATCTATCTATCTATTATCTATCTCGAATCTATAGTCTGTTCATATCTGTTTATCTATTCGCATTTCATGATGATAATGAATATCAATTCACCTCTAAAAATTTTCATCACAATGAACGAAAAACGAGATCAGATCAATCTGAAAACATTAAGGGTTACCATTATGGTATTAATATGACATAGATATATAAATGAAAAATAAATATTCAGATGATATACGTCTGTTCATATCTATCTATGTATCTGTCTGTCTGTCTGTCTGTCTGCTCATATCTATATATCGATCTCTGTTCATTATCTATCTATCTATGTCTTCACCGTAATCCGGACGGGATTAGCTTCCTTCATCATCCCGTCTTTTTCCTATTTTTGTTTTGAATTCAGTGCTGTTCTTCTACACTGTCTGACAACCAAAACAAGAGTACACATTTTTATGCTATTCACTCTATAGGTATGAAATGGATTCATACCTTTCCCAAGTGTATCTGCGCGTAAGTGGATGTAACGACCTCCAATGGAATTCGAACTCTACTCTCCGATTTATCATTCCGAGCCGTTATCCGCCAGCAAAAACACACTGCACGTGGTTTGAATCCATTGCTTCTTCACACTCATACCTTGGTTGATAAGCAGTCTACGAGAAGCGGATCTCTAAATTCAAAACAGTTTTATTTTGGGGGTTTAAATATAAAATTGAAAGTGTGAAGATGAGGCAGTGGGTCCCATACAAATTAATACTCACATCTTTAGGCATTATCTATGGAGATGATAAAACAATTTAGAGGGGGCCCCAGGTTATTTCTACCCTGGTTATCATCAAGATTGGTGACCACTTGGGCATACGTGCTGTAAGTTTGTATATGGATAACAGCCCGGAATAAAGGATCGGAGAGCCATGGTCCAATGCTCGTCTAGCTCGATAACATTCAATTAGTCTCAAATATTCTTGCGAAGATTATGCATCCAACTCTTTCCCCCAGTTATTGTTTTCAGCACTGTGTTAAGAAACAGGAAGATATCGTTAGAAACTGAGAAAAGTATATTGAATTTTAACGTAATATCAGTCCTCCTATGTGGAGAGGGATGGGTTCCGCCAGGTTAAAACACCCAAGACACACTACATGATGGGCACACTAATAAACCATTTGCAGAGAGCCAGGCAAAACATTTGGACGAAGAAATGAAAGATCAAAAAAAAGCAAAAGAAAATGAAGATAAAAAATCTTCATCTAATCCAAGGTTAATCAGTATTCTTTCATTCAAATTAGCCATATAGCTATATTCTCTGTTTCTACTTCTTATGGATGGGAGTTGAAATAAAAAACAAGAGAAACCAAATGATGAAAAATTACTAGTGAAAAATGAATAATAATTGACAATGCTTCATCTAAGAAGGCTAAACCAGCAGGAGTCATTCAAATTTAGCCATATAGCTATATTCTCTACTTCTACTTCTTATGGATGGGAGTTGCAATAAAAAGCAAGAGAAATAGATGATGATAGAAATACTAGTGAAAATGAATAATAATTGACAATGCTTCATCTAAGAAGGCTAACCAGCAGGAGTCATTCAAATTTAGCCATATAGCTATATTCTCTACTTCTACTTCTTATGGATGGAGTTGCAATAAAAAGCAAGAGAAATGAAGATGAAAGAAATACTAGTGAAAAATGAATAATAATTGACAATGCTTCATCTAAGAAGGCTAATTAGCAGGAGTCATTCAAATTTAGGAATATAGCTATATTCTCTACTTCTACTTCTTATGGATTTATTTTGCAATAAAAAGAGTAAAGAGAAATGAAGATGAAAGAAATACTAGTAAAAAATGAATAATAATTAACAATGCTTCATCTAAGAAGGCTAACCAGCAGGAGTCATTCAAATTTAGCCATATAGCTATATTTCTTCTTCTACTTCTTATGGATGGAGTTGCAATAAAAAGCAAGAGAAATGAAGATGAAAGAAATACTAGTGAAAAATGAATAATAATTGATGATGAATCATTGGTCAGGTTAATTCTTGTGTGTATAAGCGTATACTGTTTGGGTTTAATCTCGACTCTGCAAACATTTACTCGGAATGTGGCTGGATTTAGTTGCATCGTAGTCCTCTGCAAGGGATTCACTATTAAAATAAATATATAGATAGATCTTTATACGGATAGATATATAAAAAGATAAATATAACAAATAGAAAAAGATGTTAATGGACAAGTGCTAAACAAATATCTTTTGTATTCATCAGCAAAAATTACATTAAACTATTTTTTGAAAAAGATTTTCTGAAGATGAATGATTTTTATGAATAAATTGATGAAAAATAACGATTCGATTAAAACTAACTGTATAAATTTTTAAAAATTGGTAAAAAAATCGGAATTCAATATTTTTGCATTTTTTGCTAAGGGATTCACTGTAAAACCAACGACAATAAATAGTGAATTTTCAATGGGATAAGGAAAACCTATAATTATGTATTTAATCGCTTGTTGGTAAAAATTGAAAATCGCCGACATGTTATTGTCTATGTCAAGGGAAAACATGGTCAATTGTTGGGAATTAATTTTTTTTTTACATCGACAGCATCAAACAATAATATTAGTGATTTTTCAAAGATAAAAAAAGGTTTGTAAATCCATCGAATTTTTTCTCTTCCAAATTTTCTTTTTTTATCTCATTTTTTTTCTTTCTTTCATTCACTTGCAAAAATTTTCTTTTTTTCGTTTTTTTTAAATTTTTCTTTCTCTCTTTTTCTTGACTTTGTTTGCACTTTCTTTCTTTTCTTTTTTTTTTTTTAACTTTTTTTTATTTTTCTTTCTTTTTTTTTTTCTTTTGAATTTTCAAAAAGGCCTTTTTTTTTCAATCGATTTCTTTCTTTTCTTTATTGAACTGTTTTTTCTTTATTTCTTTCCGTTGGAAACATAATAGAAAATTTGTAAAAATGTTCCCAAAACTAAAATTTATATAAAAACATTAGATGCATGTTGGGATTTCTTTTTAACTTTTTAGTCTTATTTTCTTTAAATTTACTTAATTTTTCTGTTAAATTGCAAATTTCAAATTTCTCTTCTTATTTGATGTTATATTATTTTTTTTTTTTCATTTTCTTAAAACCTGGTCGTAAAAAACATGTTCGTTCCATGGTATCTTAAGCATCCTTCCTTAGAAACAAATGTCTTTCCTGATGTTATTCTTTTTTTTATTAAAAAAAATTTTTTCTTTACATGTTCGATCCATGGTATTCTCAGCATCCTTCTGTAGAAATTTCGTTTTTAATCTTTCTTTTTGAATTTTTTTTCGAAAAAAACATGGTTTCTTTATTTTTATTTCTCCAGCATTTAAATTATAGAAATTTTTTTGTCTCTTTCTTGATGTTTAGTTTAATTTCCTTTTTGTTTCCATTTCCTTTTTTCCCAAGCCAATTCTTACAAATGTTGTTCTATTGGTATCCTCAGCATCCTTCTGTAGAAATTTCAACTGTCTCTTCTGATGTTAAATAAGTTTTTTTTGTTTCCATTTTCTCAGTCGTTTCCTTTTTATTTCCATTCATTCTCAAAAACCTCGTCTGATGTTTATAAGTTTCTTTTCCTTTCATTTTTCCATGGTTATCATGTTTTTCCATGGTATCCTCAACATCCTTTGTAGAAATTTCAACTGTCTCTTCCTGATGTTAAGTTTAAGTTTCCTTTTTGTTTCCATTTTTCTAAAACCTCGTCGTTGCTCACATGTTCGGTCCATGGTATCCCTCAGCATCCTTCTGTAGAAATTTCAGTGTGTCTCTTCTTGATGTGAGGGAATTTTTGTTTAATTTTCTCTAAAACCTCGTCGTTGCTCATCATGTTCGGTCCATGGTATCCTCAGCATCCTTCTGTAGAAATTTTTTCAACTTTTCTTCCTTCTTTGTCAAAAATCAATATGTTTAAATGTTTTCTTTCATTTCTTCCCTTAAAAACCTCGTCGTTGCTCACATGTTCAGTTCATGTTAAAATGGTATTCAGCATCCTTCTGTTAGAAATTTTTTCTTTTTTTTTGCTCTGATGTTCAGCCCATAATTTCCTTTTTGTTACATTTTCTTCTAAAACCTCGTCGTTGCTCACATGTTCGGTCCATGGTATCCTCAGCATCCTTCTTAGAAATTTCAACTGTCTCTTCTTGATGTTAAGTATAAGTTTCCTTTTGTTTCCATTTTTCTAAAACCTTCGTTTTTGCTCACATGTTCAGTCCTGGTATCCTCAGCATCCTTCTGTTGAAATTTCAACTTAGTCTTTTTGATGTCACATGTTAAGTTTTTTTTTATTTCCATTTTTCTAAAACCCTCGTCGTTGCTCACATGTTCGGTCCATGGTATCCTCAGCATGTTGTAGAAATTTCAACTGTTTCTTCCTGATGTTATTATTTTTTTATTTTTTTTTGTTCACATTTTTTCTAAAAGTTTTATTTTGTTGCTCACATGTTCGGTCCATGGTATCCTCAGCATCCTTCTGTAGAAAATTTTCTTGTTTCTTCCTGATGTTAAGTTTCCCTTTTCTTTTTGTTTCCAAATTTTCTCTAAAACCTCGTCGTTTGCTCACATTTCGGTCCATGGTATCCTCAGCATCCTTTCTGTAGAAATTTCAATTTCAGCTTCCTGATGTTAAGTATTTGTTTCCTTTTTGTTTACATTTTAAAAACCTCGTCGTTTTCACATGTTCGGTTCATGGTATCCTCAGCATCCTTTTGTTGAAATTTCAACTTTAGTTTTCTTCCTGATGTTATGTTTAAATTTTTTTTTTTTTCATTTTCTGCTAAACCTCGTGTTTTATAACATGTTCGGTCCATGGTATCCTCAGCATCCTTCTTTAGAAATTTCAACTATCTCTTCCTGATGTTAAGTATTTTTTTTTTTTTTTCACATTTTTCTCCTGTTTTTTCGTCGTTGCTCACATGTTCGGTCCATTATCATCAGCATCCTTCTGTAGAAATTTCAACTGTTTCTTCCTGATGTTAACTTTAAGAATTTTTTTTGTTTTCATTTTTCTAAAAACCTCGTCGTTGCTCACATGTTCAGATCCATCATGGTATTTAAAAAGAAATCCTTCTTCAGAAATTTTTAAGTTTCTTCCTGATGTTTTATAAGTTTTCCTTACTATTCACATGTTTAAATAAAGTATTATTTTGTTGCTCACATGTTCGGTCCATGGTATTATTTTCTTGCATTCAATCTTTCAAAATATCTAGAAAGTTTTCATTTTTGTTGCTTTGATCCTTTCCCAAATTTTCCTTTATTTTTTTATAATTCATTTTATGAATTAATAGCTTCTTTCGTTGCTCACATGTTCGGTCCATGGTATCCTCAGCTCAAAGTTTTTAGAAATCCAGAGAACTGTCT